TTTTCTATGAAATTTCCTAATTTCAACTTTCTAAGTATTATATGTTTATCAAAGCGGGAAAAAAATTCATATAAAGAGAAAAATGAAAACTATCTTATTCATGAAAGTTATAGACAATGAGGTAGATGCTGCAAAGCAGATATTTTGTATTAATATTATATTGAACTATTAAACAAAGTAATTCATTACAATGAGCATATTTCATAAATTTTTGTTAGAACTTTTGTTACAACTTGTTCAAAATGAGAATGACATTTTGAAAATTATATGAATGAACCGTTACATATTCCGGATTTTTTGAAAAAGCTCATCTGATCATCTATTTTTGATGAAAACAGGTTTAATAAAACGGTTTAAAGCAACTATCTTTTTCACGTATGGTGTCCTGAAATTACATACGTAATTTGATTTCTTTTCGGACCAACGTTCTATCAATTTCATTTGCAAAGGAAGTAACTATTAATTCTATGATGAGATGATATTTCAAATCTTTATAGCAAAATTTTTGGTAAATCCTCATTGGATGAATATTTAGATCCCAGATAATACAAAATTTCGTTGTGTTAGCAGTGCAATTTTCATTTAAATAGAATTGCATTATTGAAAACTTAATTAAATAAAGATTAACTAGAATGATTTAAAATGCTGATTAAAGGAATACATTCAAGCAATTTATGTACATATTTTTTGAAAATAGAGACTTCGTATTAAANGATAATTTTTAATAATGTATATCGCAGTACGCAATTTAGTAGTATGGTTTTTAATAACTAATATGGGACCTTATTTAATTCTTGTAAAATGTTAAAATAACAAAATCAAAGCTTTTATCTCAGATAAGATATTAAATTAAAACTCATAATTCTTCTCGTTACTAATATTTTCATAATGATATTACAGTGAAAATCTGATCTCAAAATTTTTGTAGTTGAGTTATTGGCATTTAAAAACGATGAATGATGAGATTAATTCAGTATTTTATATTATAGAATACTGATTTCTTCATTAAATGTACAGTAAAATGAAAACTTAATCGCAAGTAAATTTTTAGCAATGTTGTCAAACAAAAAATATCACCGTATTGATGAAATTCTTCATAGCTTTTCAAACTTTTATGAAAATTTTTTCTCCTTTATAAAAGAAAAGAATGCGTGGTATGAAAACAAAAATTTATTTAATTTTTGTGTTATGATTATTGTTATGAATTTAGATATTTTCATAATTTTGCGTTTATTTTATCCTTGGCTGGTAGCATTAATTTCGTACACCAGGATCTGTTATAAGAGCCAACAGATGGCGCCACTAGGCATTTTTTTTAAATTTTGCTGTTTTGTTGCATCAAAATTTGCCTGTTTTTAAACACATATTTTCATGTAGGTCTTGAAACAGGGAAACCATGTTTAATTATATAATTCTTCATGACGGAAAAAGAGCTCTTAAAGAAATATCTCAGCGCCATCTATTGCCTAAGTTTACTTATACACAAAATAAATAGGAATTTTAGTTAGGTAGTGTCGTAGCGCCGTCTATGTTCTGCATTTACATTTACAGGGGTTAAGCTTAAATTTACTTAGTTGTTTTCAAAGAGGTTGATTAATTTTTTAATTTGACATTTATTGATAGCAGTCTTTATTCTCTTCACGATTTGTACAGTTCTTAAATTAAACAAAAGTTAAGATAAAAAGTAAATGTCATCAGTCTAGATGAAATATCCGATAAGGAAAGAATTTCGGCAAAGTCGGGATTTCGGCCTGGATTATCGGTCATCTTGCCTTGAATTATCATAAATGGTAGCTCTTGGAGGAGGAAAAAAAAAAACTGAATTTCGTTTCGGGATCCCAGAACCGACTCGGCAAATCTTGTTGCGAAATGTGTTTTTGAATTTAGTTTTTTTTTTCTCCTCCAAGAGTAACCATTTATGATAATTCAAAGCAAGATGATCGATAATTCAGGCCGAAATCCCGACTTTGCCGAAATTCTTTCATTATCGGATATTTCATCGGTGATGAGAATTAAACGGATTTCAAAACTAAATTTAAAAACACGTTTCACAACAAAATTTACCGAGTCGGGTCTGGGATCCCGAAACGAAATTCAGATAACATTGAAATCCGTTTAAATCTCATCACCGATGAAAAATCCGACAATGAAAGAATTTCGGCAAAATCGGGATTTTGGCTTGTAAAAAAACAAAACAAAATGCCGACTCAACCTGAATTTGCCGACTGGATGATATCGCCGGGGGGGGGAGACACNAGTAAATTACAATTTATCAATATGTTTCTAGGCATGCATAGATGTGTGATTAAGAATCTATGAGTAATAATTGAACTCTACTAGAGTATTATAGACGAATACCCTAGAGTTCAAAACGAAAAAAGGATAAGGAAAACAAAGAAAATACTTCAAAAGCGAATTATCACCAAANAGCGTTAAAAACTCCAAAACTTAACTGAATTTATATTTTGGCTTTTTTCGTTGCAATGGATCTAAGATCGATATAAATATCGATCTTAGACTTTCTCTCTACAAAATGGGCGAGAACGGAATTTCTTTTTTTAAATCTTATTATCTAAAAAAAATTACTTAAAATTTCAATAACTTTTTAACGAATATTATAGAAATAAATAATAAGATATATTGTAAAGCAATTATTTATGTCTTTTTCGCAGAAGTGTTGCAAGTTAAGTTTTGTAAGTTTCATTCATTTCATGGTTGTAACAAATTTTGATATACTTGTATATTCAGTTATCTGTATATAATAGTTTTTCATGAATTATTCACCCCGAGAAAATATTTTTATTATTGAAATACATTTCTAAAAGTGCTGCTGTTACCTTTTTCGATTTTTTTTTCAATTGAACAATTATAAACATAATAACTTATATGAAAATCCTGATATTTATGAGGGAAAATATATTAAATTGAGAATATAAATATTGAATGGATGTGAAATGGGATTTATTTATATAAAAACTTTTAGTTTTATTATTTTAAAAAATTAATTTTCTCAAAATCAAGCATTTAATTATATATAAAATATTATAAAATGGTTTAAAAATTAATTATTTCTTTTTGAGTTTTTTTTAAAATATATTTTGAATGTAAGGTGTTCTTAAAAGTGCTGTATTTAGAGTATGATAAAAATGCATGCTAAACATGATAAAAATGGAATAAAGATAAAAAGAAAACAAACAATAAGTTTATTTTTCTTTCAAACCATTTAACAAATTACGGCCGATTATAATTTTTAGGATTCTGCCTGTATGTATACTACGCCAGTCACGAAAACCTAATCACTTATTCGCGCAAAAAAATAGTAATTTGATTTCCTTTACAACCTTTTTTATTGTAATAGAAAAATGTATAATAACTTTTTAAAATAATTAAATAAAAATAAAGTACCAGCAAGCCTGCTTAAACCAAGCGATTTTTAAGGGTGTGTTTCTTTTCTTTTTCAGTCACGCCATCTATGGCCAAGAATACGACTTCAGCCAGACATACGTCACAGCCGGTTCATAGTGCACTTTATAACACAAATGATTTATTGTGTTTCTTTAAATTCTCAGAACTCTCTCCCATGAAGTGCAGGCGTTAATGTTGAAGACGGTCCAGATATTTACAATGTAAAGTAACGCCCACTTTCTACTTAAAAATATTCCCTATTAGGTGCGGATGATAATTTTATGAAAACTACATAGAACGCGATGTCAATAAATTTTAATTTTTCTAAAATGTAACAAATTCAATAAGATTAGTTTAAACGACACAGATATTCAAAGAATTTTAGATTTCTTTTCATGAAATTTGATTTTTGTAAGTTTTATTTTTAATGAAATAAAATTTAATTTTTGATATAAGTGCGATATTCAGAGAACCGATAAGTGAATATGAATCCATAAGAAACTATATACGTTCCTTATAATCTTGTACGTTCATACAAAATATAAACTAAATTAAATACACATGATTTTGAAAAAAAATATATATATAATAACAGCTTTTCGAACGAAACGAATTTTAGTTTTGAAATATTCACACCCGAATTAGCTTTCAAAGGAAGTACTTGTATAGATTTGAAAAAAAAATTGTTTCCAATGTTGTGAGCATCATTTGTGTTCTCTCTGAATTACACAAATAATAGTTGGATTTCATAAAAACTTGTTAAACATTAAGATACCGATTTCCTTCACGATTTCTTTACGATTGAAACTAGGCGATGAACTGGGGTAGCAGGTGTATCCTTAGGCTGAGAACTTTTTCTTCTGGGGCGGAAATTGGAGGTTTGGCTTCCCTCGCTGTTGCAGAACTTGGGGGAATTTCTGTCCTTCTTGCATTGATATGAGTAGTGCATTTTTGCACATTTCATACATCTAGGTTGATTTGAGCAGTATCGCTGAGTATGCCGAAGCCCTGCATCGGAAGCATTGTAGCGGTCGCCGGCCGCCACGAAATCTCTCGGTGCTAACGGGTATCTGCTGTGTGCTCTTCGTAGCGAAGATCTTATCCTGGTATGCTATTGGAGCAATGATTACAAAAAGGGGGAGGAGCCCATAGACCCGCCCTCCCTCTTCTTGAACTGGATAATTTTATGAAGTTTTAAGTCCAACTTCCCAAAATCTTGGGAAATAATTTCTGTATCAAAATCATCTGGAAGTCCACGGATGAGTATCTTGGCATGCTTAGTAGGCAGGGCTTTTTCAGTAACCTTGGAAGTCTCTTTGTCATTATCGGGAGTCTCATTCGTAGTCTCAGCTGCAGTATTGGTCGTAGGCTCCGGCTGAGAAAGGGACTCGGAAGGAGAAGAGCTGTTTGATGACGTAGGAGATAAGCCAGCAGTGGTTTTAGTAGCATTAGTGAGCTTCTTCTTTTTTCTTTTCTTTGGCGGTGGCTCTTTGTTGTTGCTGGTAGATTTTCCCGATTCGTGGGCCGAGGCTTCTTCAATCGGCACTAGATTCTGCTCCATTTCCGTAGGAGGGGTGATGTTGATTGCCTCGGGAACTTGTGTGGTCTCTTCCATATCCATAATTGGACTTTCCACTGGGGGACTCGGCTGTTCAGGCGTGGTTGTTTCATGTACTGGAGTTGGGTTAGCTGAGAAGCATGGCCTTGTTGATCCCTCGGGAACCGGGAAGTCAGTTATGATCGGTTGTTCGAAGTCAGGAAAATCAAACTTAAGACGAGGTGTAGTTGTCGGTGGAGGAGGGCTAGACATAGTCTTGCCTCCCCGGCCGGATCGATGATTAGAGCCCCCACGTGAGGAATAACCATGGGTGAAAGCCCTTATATAGCA